TAAAAGTTTCCCTGAAGATTTTATGCAGTATGGGCTGCTTTGGATTTCTTCTCTTTTTATATTTTCATGTAAAGAAAGCTGTTAAATAAGCCATGTGGAGGACCAGGAGGGGCCCCAGGGGCCCGGTCAGAGGGACAGTTCCCCCCACTCCGTCCCCTGCACGGTTTCCAAATTGGCTCTGTTTCATTGGCTCATGTTTTTATCATGTGAACTGCTTTGGGATCTTTTGATGAAGGGCAGTGAGTAAATATAATAAATAAATGAAACAGGGCCAGTTTGGGAAACATGCACAAATAAACAGTCAAAACAGAAACAACAAAACAATACCCCCCTCTTCCACAAACACATTTAAAAGAGCATTGGATGTCAGTCAGCCCAAGGCCTGAGGAATGTTTCTGCCTGGCGCCTAAAGTTATATAATGAAGGCACCAGATGAACCTCCCTGGGGAGAACAGTCCACAAACAAGGGGCCACTGCAAAAAAGGTCCATTCTCGTGTTGCCACCCTCTGGAGCTCATGTGGAGGAATGCAGAGTCTGGGTCAGTTTCTATGGGGAGAGGCAGTCCTTGGTATATTGGCTCAGGTGTGGGGTGGGAGAACCCCAGAAGTGCAGAGGGAGGGGGGTTGTTCAATCTGGCGAGCTGATAGCGCAGCGCTGAATTCTTCCCCTTATGCCCCGAGAAAGGACACGGCCCAGATATCAGCTGGAAATGGCTCATGGTCTTCCACCCTGTTTTGCAGGGGCGTGTGCTTCATCCCGAGCAGCACCGGGTGGTGAGTGTGCGTGAGTGCGCACGGTCCCAGGGGTTTCCAGATACCTACCGTCTGTTTGGAAATGTGCTTGACAAGCACAGGCAGGTAGGTTGCCGCAGATGTTTTGGGTGGGGAGGGAGACCTTTAGATGTCAACGTTTATGGGACAGCTTCTTATGCTTTTAGAGCATGGGTGGGACACCTGTGGCCCTCTAAATGTTCCCATCATCCCTGACCATTGGCCATGCTGTCTGGGTGCTACTGCAAGTTGGAGTCAAACAACACCTGGAGAGCCACAAGTTCCTCATCCCTGCTTTTAAAAGAAGTGGAGATGCCCAGAAAGATGCCAAAGCATCCCTGTTGCTTTGTTACTTTTTGTTTGTTTGTTATTTAGCTGTCTGAAAGTTAGTGCTAGAGCACAGACCTATCATTATTTCAAAATTAAGATAAAGGGGCTGACAAGCATATAGCTGTCTTGCCTTGCACATTTCTTTAGAAGATTAGAGGTTATCAAAGCCATGTAAGCTGGAACAAGTTTAAAAACCTTCTGATGAAACCTTTAAAGCTTCCTGATGCTTCAAATTTCTGAATTTGTGTAAACTGAGAAGAACTCAAGATGCTAGAAGCAGCTGCCCAGCAGGATGCAACTAAGATTTCTCCCATCAGGGAAGAGTGAGCGTGTTTGCATGCGTATATACAAATATGCATACACAAGGAAAGAGATTAAATACCCTTGCTGAAATACTTATTGTAAAAGATAGCATTAGATGGTGGCTTAAGATGCGTTTTATACTCTGAAACTTTTGATTGCCAAATCAACAGATGGCTTGCTCGCAGTGAGCAAAAAGAGGAAGGGAGAAAGTTTTGGTACCTTTGGGTTCCATTTGCACACACCCCACCACCGCCTGCTTTGGTGGCCCTACCAATACTTAGCAGTAAGTGAGGTGGTTTGCAGACATGTGATGACTGTTTATTCTGCCCCTGCCCTGGCGGTGTTTTTGCAGGTGGGTAACGCAGTGCCTCCACCTCTGGCAAAAGCCATCGGACTAGAGATCAAATTGTGTGTGTTGGCCAAAATGAAAGAGGATGCTACAGGTAAGCTATGGAATTTCGGTGATGTATTTTAAAGAGGACTTCTGAGCAACCTGTTCCCACAGCTCTGGCAGACTCCATGTCCCATCTGTGGCATGAAGCAGGGACAGGCCTCCACACCTGTTTGGGCTACGATTGCAGCCTCTTCCGCAGCACAATACTTCTGCATTATCTTCCCTGACTTAGGCCAGTTGCCACCATTGTATCACTTGCCTGTCCTGGGAGTGACTATTGAGGCAGCTGAGGGGAATGGAGGGAGGCATTTCCCCCCCACTCCAGAAAGAACTAATGGGGTTACTTTTACAGTTGTACCTCAGGTTAAGTATTTAATTCGTTCCGGAGGTCCGTTCTTAACCTGAAACTCTTCTTAACCTGAAGCACCACTTTAGCTAATGGGGCCTCCTGCTGCCACCGGAGCCCGATTTCTGTTCTTATCCTGAAGCAAAGTATTTAACCTGAAGCACTACTTCTGGGTTAGTGGAGTGTGTAACCTGAAGCGAATGTAACCTGAGGTACCACTGTATTTGCACAGGGCCCATGTGCTTCTTGGACACCCTCACATGCACACCTAGAGACTGGAGGACATTTAGCTCTCTAGATGTTGTTGGACTACAACACCCATCATCCCTGACCACTGGCAATAAATGCTGCCTGATGGGAAGCCACAAGTTTCCCATCCCTGGAATAACATATCTAATTTATCTCTCTGGTATATTTTGTTCTTCTGCAGGTAACATCAAGCAGGAAAAGATGGACATTTCAGATTAATTTGTCAGTAGCCCCTCACCTGCTGCTCTTCTGTTCCAGCACCTGAACACCCAAACATGCACTGATTGTTTTTAATTTTCTTCGTTTCATTTTCTGGTTTATTTGCTTTCTTCTGGACATGCTGAAAATTGTTGGAAGTTTTTGTTTGTTTGGGGAATTATTTTGTGTTCTGTCTTTCTCTTTTCAAGCCTGTATTTGTGAGCAGTGTTTGTCTACTTGGCTGACATTCTGAAGCTGTTTTGATGTTCCAAATAACCATTCTTAAGTGATCAACTGTGCAGTGCCTGCCACTTCATGCGTGTGTGTGTGTGTGTGTTGGGGGGAAGGGTTGCGGGTGTTTTTATTATGCATTGTATTGAAAATTAATCAACCACTTTGTACAAGTGGAAATTAATACTTTATGTAGTTTTTATATGTTGTAATATTTCTTCAAATAAAATCTCTGCTATAAATTATTCAAAGAGGGTATTTCTGACTTTCTTCAGATGAATTTGCCCATTGTGTCTGGTGTGCTAGTGTTGCCTCTGAAATCTAAGCACAAGAATGCTGGCTCATTTCTACACACCAAGAAAATCATGGCTAGTAGGTAAGCAGGCCTGAATGTCTGCCTGCCTGGACTCTGTGCTGGAACATGAAAATCGTCAGGGCTTTATTTAGTTCAGCTGGGGTCATGTGCCAGGGATTCTCTTGCGGAAGAGAATGTGATCAGCAAGAGGGCTACTTCCGACCCCCAACCTTTTATATATACAGGCCGCAGAGTATGTTTTTAGTGTAATTATTTTTTTAAAAAAATCTTCCTGCAAGTAGATGGCTAGCAGTGAGGCAAGAGTGGAGAAAGGGGGGCATCCTCTTCACCTGCTCCTCCTTTCCCTCCCTCTGAGAGCTGTGCCTGTGCTGCCCCTCCTGAACCCACTCAGGCTCCTCTGGGAGGCGGAAGCAGAGGGGGGCCAGTGCACGCTGAAGCACTTACACCCACTATTTTCCTGAGTAATGTGCTGTGTTTTTGAAGTATCCCAAGGCTCTGTTGATGCTGTGAACAGATTAACAGTGACACTTTCCTCCCTCTCTCTCTTCACCCTTCCCACCTTTCCACATCTCCCTGCTTAAGTCTTTCCTGCCTCTCTTTAAGTCCTTTCTCACCCTGGAAAGAAACCTTTGGGGAGCAATTTTCCCCTTTCGGCTCCTTTCTCATAGAATTACAGTATTGTAGAGTGGGAAGGGACCCCGATGAGGATCATCTAGGCCAACCCACTGCAGTGCAAGAATATGCACTTGTCCCATCCTTTCTGCATTTGCTCTCAGCACTCGTTTGCCCTGCCCTTCTGCTATGTAAATTTACACAACACACACAAATATGGTTTACCTCTGATTCTAGTCCTCTGAGTAGACTCACTGAAATGAAATAAAAATCCAAGCATTGATTTCAAAGGGTCTGCACTAAGTAGGATTTAGTTGGATGTAGCCTGTAATTATAACCAAAGTATTTTACCCCAAAAGAGCTGCACTGGCCAGTTTATCTGAGTACATTATTCGGGGGGGGGGGCGCTCATTTATTTATAATTGCCTAATCATATGGAACTAAATTGCATTATGCTGTAAGGAGCTTTCATAAAATCTTACAATTGTGGAGTTGGAAGGGTCAAGTCCACCCCCCCCCCCTGCAATGCAGGAATCTCAGCTAGAGCATCCAAGACAGGAGGCCGCCCAACCTCCAAGGACGGAGAGTCCACAGCCTTCCCAGGGACATCGTTCCCCTGTTGAACAGCTCTTGCTGTCAGAAAGTTCTTTCTAATGTTTAGCCAGAATCTCCTTGTAACTTAAAGCCACTGCTTCAGCTCCTCGTTTCATCATGTCAGATACTTTTAGATCTTTCAAGATGGCTCTCCTGCTCCCCTCAGCCTCCTCTAACTCCTCCCTCCTCTGCAGACTTGTCAACATCCTCCTTAAATTGCGAAGCCCAGAACTGGACACGGGGTTCCTGGCGGGGTCCGACCGAGGCCGAAGAGAGCAGTGCTGACTCTAGAGACTAAGCTGCTCTGGATGCCGCCTTTGCGGACTCAGTTTGCGGCCTGCTCAGGCTGCTGGATCCTTTCACGTGTCACCTCCGTCTTCTCTGGCGAAGCGGCTGAAAGGGACGCGGGGGACTTGGAAGAAGGGAAAGGAACCTCCCGTCCTGGCTCCCGCCTCCCGGGCTGCAATTCGGGGGGCGGGGCGGGGGGGGCTCCAAGATGGCCGCCCGCCTGGCCTGCGCCCCCCCCCTCCTCCCGGGAGCGGCGACGGGGAGGCGGGGCCCCGGCCGAGGAGGCCCAGCGCGCACCCTGAGGCGCAGGCGCGAGGGGCCTCCCCACCCGTCAGCCCCCGCGCCGGAGAGACTACGCTTCCCAGGGTGCTGCGCGCGCGGAGGCCTCTGCTCGGCTCCGCGACGCGCCTGAGACTCGCCCGAGCCGCTTCGTGCGCCCGAGGCCCGCGCTTCCCTTGCCGCTCGCGCGCTGCTGGGCGGCCATGCCGACGGGGGACTACGAGTGAGAGCGGGGGCCGGGCGGGGGGGGGGGAGGGCGGCTGCCCGGAGGCCTCGCCGGGACCCCGCCAGGGCCGCGCGGCCTGCTCGCTCCGCCTGGCGCTCGGGCCTGGTCGCGACGCGGGCTCGGAGAATCCTAGCATGGCAGAGGTGGAGGGAACCCTCAGGATCATCTAGTCCAGCCCCCAGAAAGGCCCAAGGCGGGAGTGGGCCTGCTGCTTCCCGGCGGTGGCGGAGCTGCGGCTGGGAGACCTGCCCCACCTCCCCCTGCTCAGATACAGGCAGGGCCTCCTCTCTGGGGAGAGGAGCTCTGGGCGCCTGAGCAAGGAGGGGGAGCATTGGGTGCCTGGCAAGAGGCGGCCTTGCAAGGGCGATTGAGCTGTTAGAAGGAGAGGGAAATACTTGGGCTCTTTGCTGGCTTTGGGGCACCGTGAAGCATGTAAGGCTATTTTGGGGGGTGTTGGAAGGCGAACAGCAGGCAGGAGTGTAGAAGAGAGAAGATGGAGCCTTAGCTTGGGAGACCTTCTTCTGTGGGACTCCTGTGCCCTTTGTTTCTCTCTTGGGCCTTGGTCAGAAAGCGTGAGAGAATGTTTAGTAGGTTGTGGCTGACTAGTAGTCGGGTGCTTTTCCTTGGAGGTTGGGCAGAAGAGGAAATAAAAGAGCAGCTGTTGACCAAATGGGTTAATGGCAGAGTACCTGGAATAGAGTTTCAGGGTGGAGTTAGTATTATGGATGCCATTTGGAATGTGGTTGGAAGACATTCCTATCTTTTATATGAAGAAGCCAATGTGCATTTTGGTAGAATTAAAGTGACTCGCAATGAGAGTATGAGGTATATGGGTGGGGGTCAGGGACTAGTCTTACTACAAGTAAGTAGTAAGAAAGTACTGGGTGTGGGAAGAGCAATTGCCAAGGTTAGAGGATCAAGCAAGAACTCTATACATTTACATTAACTGAACAGATACTTAACTTGGTATCTCTAACTCTATTTCAGCTCCAAGCCCAGTTGGGCAGACCAAGTGGAAGAGGAAGGGGATGATGGTGAGAAATTTCATGTGTCATTGAACAAGGTGCATGTTAAAGGAAGAGCAGCCCCTTTCACCCAGGAGAAGTCAGAGCAGACTTCCACGCCATCTAGAATGAGTTTTATTTTCCTTGTACCTTGAAATCTGTACCCACATCTTGAACACACCAAGAAAATTAGATTGCAGCTAGCCTCTGCTTTTTCCTTGTCTATCCCACCTGGATGCCTTCAGACAAGTTTATGGTGCTATACAAGTCAGGCAGCTGCCTGCCTCCCAGTGTGGCCCCATTCCTCTTGCCTCACCACACTTCCTTCCGCACCCCGAGAAGTCACAGTGCTCTTCCAAAGAAAGGAAGCCTGGCCGCAACAATCCATTTTGAAGGGGCAAGGAGGGAGTATTAAGTTAAACATGTTAATTCTGAGTAATAGTTTCTGAGCCACACTGAGGGCAGATCATTCCATCAGGTAAGCAGATATGCTTGCTCAGGTGGAGCAAACTGCTAATGTTGAATTCCTTCCAAGAGGTCTTAACATTCTAATAATAATAATACTCATTGTGAACCCACTCCAAACAATGAGATCTTCCTCTAAATTTTCTTATCTCTGTGCTGTCAACATTCCAAAGGTACCTGAAGCTCATGGGGCCATGTTCAGGAGTACTTAGGTATTTATAAGCATCCTTACCTCTAGAATCCCATGTATGTATTTTATTTTGGGCAGCCCTGTTTTCATTCCCAATGGCTATACAAATTTGACTATACTAATTTATTATTAGAGAGAATGATAATATCCTTCATGTAAAGACGTTAATTGAGTTATTGTGCTTTCCCATCACAGATAAATGCATCACCAGTGACCTGCTCAAGGACATCCCCCTGAGTGGAGTGCTGGGTGGAGGTGGAGGTGGAGCTGTAAATGTAACTGTAAGCATTGAGCCTGAGCTTGTGAAAGGAGGTAAAAGTTCACTTTGCATTTCAAAAAGGGACTGCAGTATTGGGTGACTTGGAGACACAGAAAGATTACTATAGTTCCCACCCCCACTACTTTTACAGAACCTCTCCCATCACCCAAGGAGCTTGTGAATGGAAACATCAAAACAGTGACTGAGTACAGGGAAGAGGAGGATGGCCGCAAGGTGAAGGTGAGTGAGGGCTTGGGATCAAGCCATATCTCTCTTCTCCCCCCCCCCCCAGCTCTCATTCTCAGGGTCACCTCCATATTATCCTCTTGGTGTCTTGTGGTCTTAGGGATTTGGCCCCACCCTCACTTCCAGTTGCCTTTCATTGACAGTGAAAGTTCATCTCCCAGCACGCCACTTCCTAGGTTGTACGGGGGCAGAACTCTCCATGTCATGTGGTTCATTTCTGCTTTTAGTCTGAAAGTGATGACCCTGCTAGATGTTTTCCTCCAATCCACCATGTTGCTCGAGTTCTGCAGGCTTAAGTGAATAGGTTTTTGGGTGGAGGTTGGTTGTGACTTAAGCACAGTAACTGTGTGGTCAGGAAGAAGCAAGCAAATTCTACCTGCAGGTGTGATCCTCAGACTTTCCCCATTTCCTCTTTGTTGATTCTTGCCCTGAGCGTAATATGACATGTTGCTATCCTTTGCCAGATTATCCGCACCTTTCGAATTGAGACCCGGAAGGCCTCAAAGGCTGTGGCTAGGCGAAAGGTGAGTCACCTAAGAGAGTGAAGCTTATCCCCTTGCACCTTCCTCCTTGACCACTAGGCATACTAGGCATATGTATACAGACATTTTATGCCAGGGGTAGGCAACCTAAGGCCCATGGGCCAGATGCGGCCCAATTGCCTTCTCAATCCAGCCCGCGGACGGTCCGGAAATCGATGTGTTTTTACATGAGTAGAATGTGACCTTTTATTTAAAATGCATCTCTGGGTTATTTGTGGGGCATAGGAATTCATTCATCTCCCCCCCCCCCACCCACCCAATATAGTCCGGCCCACGGCTGAAAAAGGTTGCTGACTCCTGTTTTATGCCATCATCAGATCTGACGTAATGGTACTGGAGCAAGAGATGTCTAAAAGCCAAAACAATATATATATTTATCTCAAACCAGTATTCCAGTGAAAAACAAATAGGTCCATAAAGAAGTGAAGTCTGGGATTTGTTCTTGATTGGCTTAAAATTGGACCTGAGGTCCACCCTCAGCCTGTGCCTGTTGAAGGGAGGTCCCACCATTAGTTGCACACACAGTTATGCAAGTTTTGGTGCTCATCAGACTTTTCTGTGAACTCAGCCTCCTGATCTGTAACATTTTAGTCTTGCTCTCTTTCTGAGTGAAGACGTTGTTTTTGCATGTATTCTTCACATTTGGCTAGATGATGGGAGTTACATTCCAACAACATCTGGAGGGCACCATGTTGGGAGAGGCTGGCTAAGGGTGGGGGGACACCCAAAGTTTTTTTTTTCATTGTAGTATCTCATATTTTGAGATGCTGGATCTTAAATGGTGTTTTGATACTCTTTACATCTTGTTGACAGAATGTTTTGCTGCTGCTGTTTTGCTTTGGAGCAGCTGGTGTGCAATTTGCTCAGAATTTGGGATCTGCCAGCTGGAGATTTTTTTTAGAAATCACCCTGCTGGTCTCTCCAGCCTATTCCTACTATGTCTGTCTTGCATCATCTTTCTCCCCCACTTCTTGGGGATTGCAAATGAGATCAAAGACTTCATCCAGCTCTTTTGTTCTGCTCTCTAGAACTGGAAAAAATTTGGAAATTCTGAGTTTGATGCCCCTGGTCCAAATGTGGCCACTACCACTGTGAGCGATGATGTGTTCATGACTTTCATCACCAGTAAGGAGGTGAGTGGCAGCATGCAGGAAAGCAGGGGGTGAAAATAAAGAGCAGAGGTTTCCAGATGGGTTGTGGTGCTTGTGTTTCTGGGGGGAAATGGCACGGGAAGCTGCTTTGTTCTGAGTCAGCCCCCTGGGCCATTTAGCACAGGATTGTCCACCTTGAGTGGCAGCTGCTCTCCAGGGTTTCAGGGAGCAGGTCCTTCCAATCCCTACCTGGAGAAAGGGAAACATGGGACCTCCTGCTTCCAAAGCAGGTGTCTGCCACTGAGCTGTTGCCGTTGCCTGTTAACATTCTGACATTGCTAAGACTACTGGCACAGCCAAGATAAGAAACACTTGGTTGGAACTTAATCGTTTTGTGGGCTCTGAATGTGGGTGGGAAGACAAGCAGACTTTCAGTTGCTCACACACTCAGATGTGTCCTTTGCCAGGACTTGAATTGCCAAGAGGAGGAGGACCCCATGAACAAGCTGAAAGGGCAGAAGATTGTGTCGTGCCGTATCTGCAAGGGCGATCATTGGACCACTCGCTGCCCATATAAGGACACCCTGGGACCTATGCAGAAGGAGCTGGCAGAGCAGCTGGGGCTCTCCACAGGCGAGAAGGACAAACTGCCAGGAGGTGAGGGGTGCAAAAAGGCAGAGGATATGGGGTGAGCCCTTCCTGCAGAGACAGATAGGTTGGCTTATGCCAGGGATGGGAAGGAGAGTTGTGCTCCGAGTTTCACTAACACTGCATTTTGTTTCTGCAGAACCAGAACCTGTTCAAGCCCAGCAAAGCAAGACTGGGAAGTATGTCCCACCCAGCCTGAGAGATGGAGCCACGCGCAGAGGGGAGTCCATGCAGCCTAACCGTAGAGGTAGATTGCCTTTGAGGGGAGGTTGGGACTGAATCTGACGTGTCCTGACAGCAGTAGCTGTTGGCATCTAGCAGTCTAGTCCTGTGTATATTCTGTGCCATACAAGCCTAGGCCTGCTTTAAAGATAGTTGAGCTGGCAGGTATTTAAGAGTCCTTCAGTTTCTGCTACCCTGATCCAACAGTCCTCCTTGTATCCTAGCCGATGATAATGCCACCATCCGAGTCACCAATCTGTCCGAGGACACCCGAGAGACTGACCTGCAGGAACTGTTCCGTCCTTTTGGGTCCATATCCCGCATCTACTTAGCCAAGGACAAAACCACTGGCCAATCCAAGGTGAGAAAGAGGGATTGATAATTGGGCTGGACTTGGCAGGTTCAAAGTGGGGAAAGAGGTGGCAACAGGTGAGTGCTGGAAGACATTGTGCTTTTATGTTGTAACCGCCCTGAGACCTGCGGGTAAAGGGCTAATAATAAATTAATTATAAATAATAATATAGATACAAGCAAAAATTACCTTCCTTATCTCTTATTTTCATCTTTCCTGTTGCTTACCTTCAGGGCTTTGCCTTCATCAGCTTCCATCGCCGAGAAGATGCTGCTAGGGCCATTGCAGGGGTATCTGGCTTTGGCTATGATCACCTGATCCTAAATGTGGAATGGGCCAAGTAAGTAGGACTCTATATAAAGGTAAAGGGACCCCCTGACCATTAGGTCCAGTCGTGACCGGCTCATCTCGCTTTATTGGCCGAGGGAGCTGACGTACAGCTTCTGGGTCATGTGGCCAGCATGACTAAGCCGCTTCTGGCGAACCAGAGCAGCGCACGGAAACGCTGTTTACCTTCCCACTGGAGTGGTACCTATTTATCTACTTACACTTTGACGTGCTTTCGAGCTGCTAGGTTGGCAGGAGCAGGGACCGAGCAAGGGGAGCTCACCCCATTGCTGGGATTCGAACCGCAGACCTAATCGGCAAGTCCTAGGCTCTGTGTCTAGCTACACCCTAGTCCCTTATAATAGGGTATCGGGTAGGCTATTTAATTCCTTTCAGCAGTGTGCCTGTCAAACAGCCTCAAATTCTGCTGTTACTGCAAATTTATGTTTCTTACATAAATCTTCAGCCTGCTTCTCACTGAGACAGTAGACCTGTTTCTATATATTAGTCTTTCAGCTGTACCATTTTAAATGGAATTCTCCCTCATGATAAGATTCCTATTTACACAAAATCTATCTTCATGTATGGAGGAACATTCATATGTGAGAACTTCTGCCTGCTGTCTGAAGTGGTGCAGTGCTATGCGGATTCACTATTTTTTTTTAGTTCTTAAATATGAGCAACAGATTCTCCAGGTGGTGCATTGGATGCTAAATCTTCAGTCGTCCACTTGTTAAAATATTAATGTCTCTTTTTTCCCCTTCCCACCTCCAGACCTTCCACCAACTGAGGCTTCCTGTCCGGCATTTGTCTTTGGAAATTGCCCAGTTTTGCTCTTCACTGGAAATAATAGTCACTAATAAAGGTTCCTTTCAGTCGCTCTCTTGTGGTGTGTCTCAGTCCCTCATCAAAATAGCCCTATTGTTGCTGGAGTCACCCAATATCATTTTAACAGCTGAGTTTCTTTTTACTGAGTGATTTGTTAAATACACAGGCTTTCTGATGCAAGAGTGTTTAATTTTTATTATGTTAATAACCCCGTTTTAGATGAAGACCCAGGCCTCTAAAGTAAATGTTGAACTGTTTCACTGGGTTTGATCCAGAGTGGGATTAGGTGTAGCGAAAGGAAGGTGTCTTTGTGTGGCTTGCTCGGCTGAAGGTTGCCATTTACTGACTTACTGCCACATTCTGGACTCTCTGCAGCCTCCTCCAGTAATGACCAAATTAAGAGGAGTAAGTAACAGACTCTTACGGTTCTCTTTAGAAAAGGCTCTCAATCTTACAATATCCCTTTAATTCCAGTATGCAATGTAAGATCCACTTTACATTTTTTGCATGTTTTTAATCTTTTCTGCCAGGCTGCCAGCTGCACCTTTTTACAACCATGCAAAAGTAATTTAAGGTGGTGCAGTTTGCTATGCAGTCACATCTACACAGTGGCCCTTACCTTCCTTTTTCTAAAAAATTAAGCTAACCAGCAAACAGGCACTGCTGGTGGCACTGACCCATTGGAGAAATATCTTCATGCAATGCATTGATGCTCGAGAAAGTGACTGTATTGGTGTAAGGAGCCTGGTCACACTTCTCTTCTCTTCTGTGGCTTGTGGCTTCAGTCTTTCTTTGGGATGTGGGAGGCTGCCCACTCAGCATAGCCTTGTGCAACTTTTGCTGCTTAGCTTAGCAAAAGGCTTCAGGCAAACAGGAAATAGGTACCATGCCTTAGCAGTGCCAGAGGCCAACTGCTTTCCCTCTTATCCCTCCACCCCCCCAGCTCTTCTCCCTCTGGGGTGGTGGAGGGACTCCGGATTAGGTGTGGGAGGCCTCCAGTACAACTGTTGGTTAAGGCCCTACTGTTAACTTCTTGACTAGTGGTAACCCAAGCTCAGCATAGAATCATAGAGTTGGAAGAGACCACAAGGGCCATCGAGTCCAACCCCCTGCCAAGCAGGAAACACCCTCAGAGCACTCCTGACATATGGTTGTCAAGCCTCTGCTTAAAGACCTCCAAAGAAGGAGACTCCACCACACTCCTTGGCAGCAAATTCCACTGTCGAACAGCTCTTACTGTCAGGAAGTTCTTCCTAATGTTTAGGTGGAATCTTCTTTCTTGTAGTTTGGATCCATTGCTCCATTGCATGTTGCTTCTGATGTTATCTTTCTGATATTCCATAAATCACTACTTTGCCTGAGTTTTGAAACAGGCCCTCTGCAGTCCTGGTTATGACTCATGACTATTTTTATCATCCATCCATAACCTCTTGAAAGCTTTTCTCACAATTACTGCAGCTTAGTTTGTTACTCCCTGTGTTGTGTGGTTTGTGGCTAAACACTTCACAACCTTTTTAAATAAGGATAAAAGTTTGAAGTTATTTGTCCCACCCCTTAGAACAGGAGATAGAGCCTTGTCAACTGGTACATCACTGGCCAATCTCGTCATCTGCTGAACAGGTTACAATTACTGGGTTTATTACAAAGAATGGTAGGTCAGACAGACAGTATGTTCTTAAGCAAGAGTGCATACTCAAGGTGACTTCACACAGCTTATGCAACTCAAAGTGTTCACATCCAGAAGTGCTGTGTCTGTGTGCAGTGCGATTTAGCGCTTCTGTGCATGCTGTGAAACCCGGAAGTAACCATTCCGGTACTTCCGGGTTGCTGTGGGATGCAGCTTGAAAAGACGTAACCTGAAGCGGACGCAGCATGAGGTATGACTGTACTGTGGGATTCTGCTAAAGAAGTAGAACAGGGTCTAGTGTCTAAACTGTTAATGCAAATAGACACGTTATCGGAGAGCGCTGACTTTTTCCTGGGACAATTTGGCAACAAAAGCAACTACCCGTGAGTAGGATAAAATTGGACTTAAAGGGAGAAAAAGAATTAATTCGGCACCGAAGCGGGGAGGCATAAACAGGAAGTCCACCTTCCGTTTCTTGTAAATAGATCAAAGCAAAGAGACTGTAAGCTAAAACTTTGAAAGACGCTTCTAAAACGACTCAAATCCTAACATCAAATAAGCGATCTCCCCTCCGGATTGCAGGAGAGGAGGGGGAAAGGTTTGAACTGCATTTTCCTGCAAAAAAAAGAGAGGAAAGGAAGCTAAAATCCACCGCTTAGAACCTGGGAACTATTGAGAAATTGTTACAGGAATCTACTTTGACCCGAAAGACAGCTGAAGAAGCAAAGGAAATAGCAACTGCTACTGAAGAGAAGATACCACCGATACACAGGCAACTTGAGGACCACAGGTTGATGTTCTCTATGATTGAATTGAAGGAGAAACAAACGAATCTGAGGATCAGGGCCGTACCTGAACTTGAGAAAGATAATTTGATTGACTTTCTTACGAAGGAATTTGCAGACTTCTGGCAATTACGGTAGATTTGGGGAAGGAAGATTTTAAGATAGTGCATTCAGGCTTGGAAGAGGAGGAAAGAAGAACAAGGTGAGAGACTGCCTGATTACCCTCCGAACAAAAGAGGAGAGACACAAAATATTGAATCCGCATTTCCGAAAGACTTTGGAAATATATCAGTCAAGTGTGGAGATATTTAAGGACATTCCGAAACATCTTTTGGATCTTAGGCCTAACTACGGAGACCTGGTCGCCCTGCTGAGAAGCAACAGAATCATCTTTAGGTGGGAATTCCCCCAAGGCCTGTCTTTTAGATACAAAGGAAGATAGATAAAAATAAGATCAGTTGACGACAAAGAGAGATTTTTGAAAGATCACAGAGAAGACTTACAGAAAGAAGCGGAATCTGGAGAAGAGCCAAGAGCACTGGAAAGAGGAATACTAGACATAGCAAACTTATCTTTTGGATTGCATGGTTCAGAGAAAGTGACACCACCGACAGAACAAGAACAAACACTTGGTGCAGTTGGAGGAAAAGCAAAGTAACTACATTATGGCTCTGCAACTATTAAGTTGGAATTGTAATGGTCTCAACTCTCCCCGGAAAAGTGTCTTTCATTTACTAAAAAAGGAACAATTGGACTTGATTTGCTTACAGGAAACACACGTGATAAGGCTACATAGAAAAGTATTGATTAACAAAAGATTGGGACAGGAGTTTATCTCATCTGACAAAGTTAAAAAAAGAGGAGTAGTGATTTATGCAAAGGAGAGATTATCACCGAAATTTATTTTTAAAGACGACCAAGGAAGATTTGTGGCAATTGAAATTCAAATACAAGGAGAGAAATTCTTGATAGTAGGAGTTTATGCACCGAATGAGGGGAAATCTGAATTCTTTAAAAAGTTGCATGAGACCTTAATGGACTATTTGGATTACAATCTGATTTTGATGGGGGATATGAACGGAGTGGTATCTACAAATATGGATAAGGCACAAAGACAGGTAGTCACCAAGGATGGTAGACTACCGAAAACATTTTTTGAGATGACAGATAACTTGGACTTAGTTGATATCTGGAGAACAAAGAATCCCTTGGGTAGAGAGGGAACTTTCTTTTCTGAAGCCAAAATGACATGGACCACAATTGATCAAATATGGGTAACTAGAGGAATGGCACCAAAGATAAAGTGGAAATTTGTCCAAAAACCTGCTCCGACCATAATGCTGTGAAGATGGAGATGAAACTAATATCAACTGGCTCTTTCAGATGGAGGATGAATGACACCTTATTTAGAGATGAAGATGTGATTAAGAAGGCCCAAAAAACTCTGAGAGACTATTTTGAGATAAACATGAATACTAATGTTGAAAAAAGAGTAATCTGGGACGCAAGCAAAGCGGTTATGAGAGGGTTCTTGATACAACAGAATGCAATAAAGAAGAGAAGCCAAAATGAGAAGAAAGACAAAATTTTGGAGAAAATAAAAGAAAGTGAGAAGAAATTGAGAGCAAAACCAAAGTCGCAAGAGATCTTGAGAGAAATAAAGTTATATCAAGTACAATATATGAAAATGATGAATCAGGAAATAGAATGGAAAATTAAAAAAATGAGACAAAATACATTTGAATCAGCTAACAAATGTGGGAAATTGTTGGCCTGGCAAATGAAAAAAAGACAAAAATTAAATACTATTATAAATTTAGAAGTGGAAGGAAAGAACATACAGAACCCAGCCGAGATTAAAAACTGTTTCCAGAGGTACTTTAAACAATTATATACACAAGGGCCACAGAAAGAAATTGATATAGATCGATTTTTGAAGATAAATGGATTACAAAAAAATTCCCAAGAAAGTAAATTAATGTTGAACCATAAAATATCTGAACAGGAAGTAGAAGGTGCCATTCAGAATATGCAATTAGGTAAATCTCCAGGACCAGATGGACTGACTTCTAGATATTACAGATCTTTAAAAGAATGGTTAGTACAACCTTTAAAGGAAGTCTGTAATGAAATATTGGAAGGGAAAAGGGCACCAGAGTCGTGGAAAGAAGCGTATATTACACTTATACCGGAAACAGAAACTGAAAAGACTCAGCTTAAGAACTACTAGACACTTGTCTGACAATTTGAGGAATATAATTAACATTCTGGAAAAACTAGAAGTGAATATTAACACTAAGGCAGTTTTGATATTTGTGGACGCGGAGAAAGCTTTTGATAATATTTCTTGGAGTTTTATGAAGAACTTACAGGGGATGGGGGTGGGTGAAGGATTTGGAAATGGTATAAGTGCAATTTACTCTGAACAAAAGGCCAAGTTAATTGTTAAGAATGAGGTGACGGAGGAATTTAAGATAGAAAAAGGGACACGACAAGGTTGCCCAATTTCCCCATTGCTTTTTATATCAGTCCTGGAGGTTTTGTTGAATATGATCAGAAGGGACCAATTGGTTAAAGGTATACAAGTCGGAGCTAAACAGTATAAATTGAGAGCATTTGCAGACGATTTAGTATTGACATTACAGGAGCCAGAATCTAGTACTAAAAGAGTTTTGGAATTGATTCAAGAATTTGGTCAGGTTGCAGGATTTAAACTGAATAAGTTAAAAACAAAGGTTTTAGAGAAAAATTTAACAGCGATTGAGAGAGAGAGGTTTCAGAATGAGACAGGTTTAACAGTGGTTAAGAAAGTGAAATACCTGGGGATTAACATGACAGCTAAAAATGGGAACTTATTTAAAGACAATTATGAAAAATGCTGGACGGAAGTGAAAAAAGATTTAGAAATTTGGTCAAATTTGAAGCTTTCACTGCTAGGCCGTATTGCTGCGATAAAGATGAATGTATTGCCAAGAATGTTATTTCTGTTTCAAACATTGCAAATTCTGGATAAAATGGATTGTTTCAAGAAGTGGCAGAGAGACATTTCTAGATTTGTCTGGCAGGGCAAGAAGCCCAGAATAAAATTTAAAATATTAACGGATGCAAAGGAAAGAGGTGGGTTTGCCCTGCCAGACCTTAAACTTTATTATGAATCAGCAGCTTTCTGCTGGTTGAAAGAATGGCTACTTCTTGAAAACACAGACATCTTGGATTTGGAAGGTTTTAATAATGTATTTGGATGGCATGCATATTTATGGTATGATAAGGTCAAAGCACATAAAGCATTTAAAAACCATATTGTCAGGAAAGCATTGTTTAATGTCTGGATAAGATATAAGGACTTGCTTGAAAATAAAACCCCAAGGTGGTTGTCACCGATGGAAGCGAAGGCTCAGAAAAAGCACAATATGGAGGCCAAATGGCCGAAATATTGGGAAATTTTGGAACAAGTGGGAGACAAACTGAAATTGCAGAGTTATGAAAAACTAAAAAATAAAGTGTGAGATTGGCTTCATTATTATCAAATAATGGAGGCATATAATTTGGACAAGAAAATTGGATTCCAGGTGGAAAAATCAAAATTGTAAACAGAATTGTTAGATTCCAAAACTAAGAATTTGTCAAGGATGTATAACTTGCTGTTGAAATGGAATACTCAGGATGAAACGGTGAAATCTGCTATGATTAAGTGGGCACAAGATGTTGGACATAACATTATGATGGCTGACTGGGAACAGTTATGGACCGCAGGTATGAAGTTTACAGCATGTAATGTTTTAAGAGAGAATATTATGAAAATGATATACAGGTGGTAAATGACACCAGTCAAGCTTGCAAAAATCTATCATTTGCCCGATAATAAATGTTGGAAGTGTAAAGAAACGGAAGGTACATTCTTTCACCTTTGGTGGACGTGCCCGAGGATTAAGGGTTTCTGGGAGACGATATATAATGAATTGAAAAGGGTATTTAAATATACCTTCCTGAAGAAACCAGAGGCCTTTCTCCTGGGCATGGTTGGCCAATTGGTGCCAAAGAAGGACAAAACTTTCTTTTTGTACGCCACAACAGCAGCAATAATACTTATTGCAAAGTATTGGAAGACACAAGATCTACCCACCCGGGAAGAATGGCAGATGAAGGTGATGGACTATATGGAACTGGCGGAAATGACTGGCAGAATCCGAGACCAGGGAGAAGAGTCGGTGGAAGAAGATTGAAAAAAGTTTAAAGTCTATTTACAGGAATACTGTAAAATTAATGAATGTTAGAATCATGTTGGATAAGAAGTGGTTTTTAGCTATAATGCTATAAAGGAATATGAAAAAATGGATTATTAACAGGTAAAAACTTAATGTTACAATACTTTAAGATTAAAGACTAGGACAAAGAAAGAGGGAAAGGATTTGCTGAACTAACAAATTGAACTGGAATACAAAAAAGGGAGGTGTGAGGAGGTCCGGGAAACAAGCAAATGAAAGATAAGTAATGGAAAGATGGAATTGTTTTTAACTATTTTTATTTTGTATTTTTCTTTTTGTAATATTTTGAAAATCTTAATAAATATCTTTTAAAAAAAATGCAAATAGACACGGGATGCCAGCGCTGCTTTTCTGGGGGTACTCAAGGGTATGCAGTACTGGCACAGTTTTTTATTTAAAATGTTAAAAGTTTGGCACTTACTGTAACAACTTCATGGTGAGTACTGGCACCTTTTTTCTTTTTAAAAAGCACTGGGTACAGATGGTTTAAGGCAAATGCAGGAAACAGATCAGCACATAACTATCAACAGAGGTGTGGATCTCAGTGTAGAGGAAATCTGTCTCTGTGAGAGGTAGCACTTAAAATAGTGCAAAAATGGCACCCCTGCCTATGCAGTTACCCCATATAAGCCCCTCAACAAACCGCCAGAGGCTGTAGAATCTGGTTCTTACAAACAGGTGTGGTGGACCTTTGGGGAGGTGGCTGTTCTGGGAGGAAGGATTTGTCCAAATAAAACTTACGTCTAAACTTTTAAAAAGTTCTACTAACAGCCAGGCTCACAATAATGAGGTAATACAATAACTTAGAAGGTTCTTCTCTAACAAATTGGTACAATGAAGTATGGCAAATAGCACTTGTGAATTTTTTAAAAAGAAAATTGGCACAAGGCCTGAAGCAAAGACTCATTTGTATTTCAATGGCACAGCTTTATTACATACAGTACATGGCTAAAATCCAAACTAGAGGACTCCTCTCATAAGACTACCATATTGGTTAACTTCAACCATTTATCACCTATACAAATATAAGTCTGAGATAAGAACTTATGTTATTATTTTGCATGCAAATAGCAGCTTCTGGGTGAGAGTGGGGTGTTTTATTACTGTATGTCTCTGATTAAATGTTGTTCTATGGTGAAAGGATTTTTTAAAAGAAAAAAAAACATGAATAGAAGTCTGCTTCAATGGGAGGAGGGGAGAAATAGAAGGTCCTATAAACTTAAGGATCAAGTACTACTTGGTGGAAAGTCCAACTGCTTAAGGAATGTAACCTTAGGGAACTCATGCAGGTCTTAATTCTCCAGTCGTTTGACTTGGCCCCTGGAGGCACAAGGCAATTCCACCCAAACAAAGCAACAGCACAAAGAGCACAGCACAAGGTGCAAAGTATGCTTGAAATCATTAGAACAGATGTCTTCTAAATTGCTTAAAGACCTTTTGGGAACAAGTGATTAACAAGTCAAATAAAAATAATACCTGCTAAGTTTCAGTGCTGTGCATGGCTCCTGAGCAGAGTTAAGTTGATACAAACTGCAGAACTGGTTGGGCACAATCCAGTCAAGAGTTAAAATGTTTTCAATTTCCAATGATTTGGGCATGTTAAAAGTTGGTCATGCCAATTATGGGGTGTTGGGGAGGGGTAGTCCCTTTAGTGGGGGAGATGTTGTGCTCCTTCTGGGGTACTTTGTCCACCTTTGGTTTCCAGCTCTCACCTGTGACTCCTTGAAGCTGTCAGTATGCAAGTGGCAACACCCAAGAAATGGCTTCAACTGGCCGGCTTGGGCAGATAGAGACTTCCCCTGCCTGAGAAGACAGCCTTCAGCGTATTGAGTAGTGGGTCCAATGGTCAAGGTGGCCTTTGCATGTGCTGGAGATGGAAGTGAGAGGTGGACGGGGCTCAACAACCTGAGAAGGTAGCCCACATGGGAGAAGTAAAATTCTGATCCAAACCTCCACTGCCTCACATCTTTACCTATTCATGAGAAAGGCTTCAGGAGGAGGAGGAGGAGGAGGAGGAGAAACCCATACCCACTTTTTTGGCAGGACATCTTTGGAATAAGAAAAGGCAAAGGAGTAAACGTAACACAAATCTAGAGTGGAGTATCTAAGACAGTTGGATGGTGTCTTGTACGTCTCCTTCTGGCAACTCCTGCAACCAACCTAGTGTCAAATGTACTGTTTTCCTTTCCTTTGGACCACATCGGTGGGGCCAAGAGTGTGGTCTTGTTGTCTGGGCAACCCAGGACCTCCATCCACACTGCCCAGGTCACTTCAGTGCTGCTAACATGGCAAAACCAAAGCTGGAGGCAGAAGTTAACAGTCTCTGCAGCCACAGCAGGGGCTGTAATTCTCCAGTGGTTTGACTTAGCCCCAGGAGGCACACTCCATTGTCTTGAGACAGACAGATGCCAACGAACTTATGACTCGAATGCGAAAGGTGAGACACATGGACTTGAAGAAAACATTTGGCAAAGAGCTTTTCAAACAGGACAGAAAACTGGACACTTTGTGGATCCTCTCAAACGTGTTTACAGCCTAAATTCAGCAGTCACCAAAACAGGAATGGAGGGATAGATTGAAGGGTATGTAGTTCCTATAAGATATATTTCTCTTGACCAATGTACAGATGGCTGCTTAGTATCTTATAAGTACATTTCAGGCCTAAAGAGTCCTCTCAGAGATAAGGTCCCACACCCACCTTAAGATAAAGGAAATGTTCTCCAGAGTTTTTGATGGACATTTGAGTTCCTATGGAGCATTCCTCTGACAGTCAAAATGTGGTGCAGACTGTTAAGGATGCTAGTGATTGCCACTTTGAGAGCTCCATTTATCATTTCCATTTATCTGTCTCTCACATAAGTTTTTCCCCTGATGGGGGAAAACAGCTGTAGTGGTGTTTTGTTCTCTCAGGCAAAAAGACAGAGAAACCCAAATAAGGATCTCTTAAATCAACTGCTTTAACAATGAGATTATCATGCCAAGCTGTGTTAACCATGGTTCAGCTTGATGCCTGAAATGAGCCACAGAGATCACTCTTCTAAAAATTATCTTGCCCATGAGGACTAGAATACTTGCTCTTGCTATTATTTCAGAAGGCAAGGCTTTCGGAATTCCAAACATGGACACAACTACACAAATAATCTGTAGAGTGGTCATGGCTAAGCAGCAATTTCCTTTAATGGGTCTCATTCTGAGACCAGAAAACTATTGAAAATTGCTCATGGAATCTCATCACCGTAACGGTGTGATCAAGTATCAACCACTTCTCAGACAAATGGGTCTCCTCAAAGGGGAATATCCACACTTTGTCTATCTTGCTCTGACCACCTTCAAAGGCAGGGATGGAGAGCACGTGGCTCCCCAGAAATTGTGGACTCCACCTCCCAGTTGCCCCAGCCAGCCAGCGTGGCCAGTGGTCAGGGATGATGGGAGCTGGAATCCAACAACCTCGGGGTCACTGGTGCTCCATGGCCCATTTTAAGGAGTGTCCAAAAGTAATTTAAATTACTTTTAAAAAGAGCAAAGAGGAGTAGAATAGAATTAGTTATGAACTATACCCTCAATAAGCTGCACAGTTAAGAACTTAAGAAGAGCCTGTTGGATCAGTCCAAAGACCTATCCTGTTCTCAGTTCTCGGGTGCCTGTGAGAAACCCAGAGACAAAACACAAATGCAGTCACCCTCTCCACTGTTGCTCTCCAACAAGAGTTATTCAAAGGCATATTGACACTTGACAATGGAGGTAATGTGTATCAGTGACTACTAGGCTTGCTGGCTAAGAATTATCCTCCCTGAAAAGACATTTGCAATGGCAGCCATCACTACATATTGCGTGAAGGAATCAGGCTGGCCCAGGAGGACAAACTAGGCCTGCCTGCCCCCGCACCTGCCTTCTCACTTACAATCAGTTCAGGGGGCAAAACGGCCTGCCAATCTGCCCCCCCCCCTATTATCAGTGTTGCCCTTCTAGGAAGAGGCAGAAAACAAAATGAATGGGATCGGCCCACTTTTGGCTCGGGCTCCACTTACTGTTGGCCTCTCTCCCTCCTGCCTCACCAGTTCCAGTGGATACCAGCCACCACACTCTTCAGCTGTCTTGAATCTCCCACTATTCCAGCAACAACTGATTTCCCCCCCATTCCCTTGCCAGCAAACAAGCCTTATCAGCCACCATATCCAGCTGACAGACACCGCTGGCCAATTCTGTAGCGATTCAAAGATATTTGTGCCTTGCAAAGCAATGGGGAAAGGGCAAGCCTCACAGAGACAGTCAGACAAAAAGGCAGGCAGCTCACGGTGAATCAGTAGGTATATGTGTCCTGCAAACAGCTATACAAAACCAAGAGAGGGAGGCCCAGGGCTCTAGGCGGGCCTCTTCCCTGAACGTCCGGGCTTTCGGAAGCTTCCTTTCCCCTTAAGCACCGGCTTCTGCCGCAGTCCAGACTTGCCCTGCCCCCAGGGCCTTGAGCCAGGCTGCCGCCGGGCGTGGTGCTGCCCTGGGGCCTGGGGCCGCTTCCTCCTGGTCTTTGGTGACACTCTGTGCTGCACCGCGGGCTGACCAGCCTCCCTGTGCTGCGGACTCTGGGCCCCCTTGGGCTGTCGAGGAGAGAAGCCTCTCAACTTCTGCGGCTTCCACTGGATGGGCCGTGGGGTCCTCTGCTTCCTTGCCTTGGTGCTGGTCCCTGCAGATGCTGCTGGGCTCTGGTCACCAGCAGGATGAGTGCATTTATGCCTTTTCCCAGCTCTGGTGGACTGACTGGGCCTTCGTTTCCTCTTAGTGCTTTGGGGAAACAGATCTAAAGGAGGGTCACAAGGAGAGAAGATAAAGATAGCTGCAGCCTCTATGCCGCCTTGAAGTCCAAAAGGCTCTTTAGGCCACTGGTCTTCAAGTGGTATCTCAGGACCCTCAGAAAAACAGAGAGCTGCTGGAAGAGAAAAACAAAACTTGTAGCATTGTAGATTACAAAGGGGAAATTTTGGAAGGTGGCAACTTGTCCTGCTGGACCAGGAAATTGCTGATAAAATTTTCCCTTCCTCTGCATCTGGTCACTCTGGAAGAACATCATTCAGGGTCAGAAAGTTAGGACAGGGTCCCATGTAAAAGGGTGGGACGGCGGCTGCTTCTGAGCAGACTATTACATGTAACACAGATATAACTGGTGGTCCATACGAAGCTAGGAGGTAGCATTCACACATGCAGTGTCCCTCCCTCCCTCTCCCCTTGGATAGATGCACCTGAGCGTTTACCTTGCAAGTGTCCCAGCTCATGCTCAGAAGCACAACTGTTCTCATCAGCTGCATCCAGGAGGGTCCCTAGCCGCCAAGTCTTTTAAGCACTACTAATTAAGATACCAGTTACAGGTAGGTAGCTGTGTTGGTCTGCCGTAGTCGAAACAAAATAAAAAAATTCCTTCCAGTAGCACCTTGAGACCAACTAAGTTTGTTATTGGTATGAGCTTTCGTGTGCATGCACACTTCTTCAGATACATGCATCAAACTTAGTTGGTCTCAAGGTGCTACTGGAAGGAATTTTTTTTATTTAATTAGATACCAACCTTCATCAGGCTCTTCTCCCACTTCCTGCCGATAATACTCCATGTCATCGTCTGATGGCTCATCCACCTTCTGGTCCTCTTGCATCCCAGGGTCCTCCGCATCACTGTCACTTCCCTCTGCCTGCTTCTTCTTCCTCTTTATCCCCTCCAGACTCTTCTTCCTGCAGCCCGCAAACCAACAATACAATCACAAGTGCACATATCGGTCCTCCCAAAGCAAAGCAGCATGCTACTTTGGAATGTGTACATGTAGGGACAGCGGCTTTGTGGGACGCAAGGTTCTGGCTCTTCTCTCCCTCACCTGTGAGCCTGCTTCTGCTCCTGCTTGCGTTCCACATCTGCCTCCTGCTTGCGGCGCCGCTCAGCCTTCAGCTGCAGCCTTGCCTCTTTCCGGGCCAGGGCCACCTGGAGCTCTTCCTCCGTTTTATAAACTGAGGGCAGGAGTGAGAAATTAAAACCAACAACTGTGAACGTTGACACTACACATTAGCAAGTATAAAACAAACACATGGGGATAGATTCAATTAAGCAGTTATGCTTAGCGGGAGCCAACCTAATGAGTCCCACTAGTGGAACTGGGGCTTCTCTCCCCAACTGGCAGGTGGGGAAGGGTAGAAACCCCAGAACTGGGGTGGGCGGGCTCAGAGAGAGATCATTCCATCTGGCAAGCTTAAATGATTCACCACTGGAGTGATTGCGTTCCACTCAATATCTACTCCCTTAGAGGGCAGCTGGGAACCCAGTGGGAGCAGGTATCACATACAAGTGCTTTTTATCTAAGAAAGCGACAGTGGCACCACTAACACAACTCAGCAACTGAAGACGATGGCTGACAACAGGCCCACCAACCTGAATGCAACATGCTTGGATGCCCAACAGCCTGTTTTTGCTGTTCTGGGGAGGCAGCAAGGGCAGATTTATTCATGCACTGTTGAACATGGCTGGAAGTTATACAGACTTATTGTCCAATATCTTTAATACTGGGGTGCACCCCTAGCTATTCACTTTAACTTCCCCCCACCTTTAAATACAAAATGCTGTTTTTGACCTATAAAGCTTTAAATGGCTCAGGACTCCCCTGCTCAGCACCTGAGGGCCCCCGTCCTGCCACTCACCACCTGGCCCAGGGCGGGGCCTGACGGGCTCCATAAAGGACTGCTGCCGCTGGGCAGAGAGGGCTCCATTTTTGTTTTTGAAATTGCTGTTATTTTTTTACCTATGTCAATTTAAACTGTTATGTTAATGCTGTATTCTTAAGTGTTAGATTTTGATTTATGTGGAAATTGTTTTCCATTTGGTTGTGTAATTTTGATGTGGTTTATTTATTATGACTTTTGTAATTATGTAAATCTTGTCATGTTGTAAGCCGCCTTGAACGTTGTTTTTAACTGTGGAAAGGCGACATACAAATAAAATGATGATGATGGTGATGACTGCAATACCTCAAGGACCGCCTCTCACCATATGAATCAACCCAGAACCCGAGATCATTCTCTGAGGCCCTTCTTTGCGTGGCTCCTCCTCAAGAGGTCTGGAGGGTGGTGACACAAGAACGGGGACTTCTCTGCAGTGGCTCCCCATCTGTGGGTTGCTCTCCCCAGGGAGGTTTGCCTGGCGCCTTCATTAGACACCTTTAGGGGCCAGGCAAAAACATTCCTCTTCAACCAGGCCTTTGGCGGATTAATATTCTACAGCCTTTTAAGTGTGTTTGTGGGCGTGGGGGGTATTGTTTTCCACATAGAAGCTCAGGAGAGGAGGGCTCCATGAACTCACTGAAGCTGTGATAGAGCACATTGCCCTGGCTTAACCCTTCCTCCACCTTGATCAGTTGCAGGGTCATTCGAGGGCCAATCTGTTGGGAAAAGAGGCAGAGACTTCATTAGGTCAGAGATATCCTCACCACCATCACTCCACCACCTGCAGGAGCCTGGCAGCCCTCATGGTTATCCCAATTTGGATGATCAGGACTTTCACTGCTGAAGCAGACAGCAGCTGGAAGAGCAGAGGTCAGCTCTATGCTGCCCCCCCCCCTCAGCCACTCCCATTCTGTGAGCTCAAGAGTTCCATGGCCTGACCTCGGTGAGGCGGACAGCGCTCTGTTGGGCCTTCATGTTCCCCCGGCCAGCGTAGGCCTGAGGCAGCTCTGTGGTGTTGTGACTGCCATCTTGCTCAGCTTCACTCTCAGAAAGATTGATGTCTCTGCATTGCAGGGAGGGAAGGAAAACATTATTATTCCTAGCATGCTGCTAACAGAGGAGCTCTGCACATAAAACAGTCCTCAGGCTTACAGTCCAAGCAAGGTGAGACACACAAGGGAAGAAGTGTGGTGGAAAAAGAATGGGCACCAATAAAGAAGAGGATTTATCAGTGGGAGCATGAGAATCAAGCTGGTTTGGCATTCCACAGGAGTTTAAACATACACGAAGAAGTAAAAAGGAACAGAAAATCAGAGCAAGGGCATCATGAAACAGGGCCCCAAATCCACAAACCTCCTTACATCCTGCCTTATTCACAAACCATGAGTCTCTACTGAATCTCTAGCTCTGCTAAGAACAGCTCAACCTGCTCCAGGACCCAAAATGAGCCTACACTTTGATTGGGGTGGGAGTGGGGGCTTAGCTTTATGGGGAGGTGGAGGGTCTTTTTCTCACCTAACCAATAGTTCACTGATGTCCTCCAGACGGCTCATGTTAGGAAACTTCTCCTGCATGATCTTCTTCAGCCCTTTGCTTATTCCTACAGGCACCACTTTCAGACTGCTGCAAAACACAAAGGGCAGGAGAGGGGCATGAAGGCATTCCATCAAGCAAGAGGAGCAAGCCACTGCTATTGTGTTGGGTGGATAAGGGTGGAGGAGGCAGAGCAGATATGCACTGCCATGTACCAGGTCCTAAATTTAGTCACTGGCGTCGCCAATTAAAGGTTATTTGGATGCAGGCCTAGGAAAGACTCTTCTCTATTCTGCCTGAGGCCTCTGGCAAGGGTCATGATGTGAAATGTGATGTGCTGACATTATCATCTGGGCAGGGGCTATTCCTGCTTTGCTCCTATATTAGCTGACATAATCTTCTTTCAACTCTGGAAACAAGCTTGGCTTCCAGCTAGGGGTGTGGAATACAATCTAGAAAATTTAGCTGTTAGATTCAGGGGCAAACTCCTTGGATCCTTTTATCCAGGGAAGTATCCCCACGACCTGCTGTCTTCCAGTTGCTCTGGACCCCAACAAGGCAGGTGGCATAATATACTAGAAAAAATGTTGGTTAGATAAATTTTCCAGGGTTCAAAACCCTTTTCACTTTGATATGTATCTTTGTTATTAGTTTTCTCCCTCTCACTTTCCTTCTTTTTTCCTGTATCACTGTATTACCTTTAATTGAAATCACCTTAATAAAATATTTTTTTAAAAAAAAACCTTGAAAAGAAAGAGAGTAGCGTGACATCACCAGACAGCAATCCCTTAAACTCCTGTTCCCAAGCGGCTTAAGATTCATCAGAATGTTTTGTTTCAGATTAAGACCAGAGACACACCAGCAGACCACACTCTCACCATGTGCACCTAGTTTGCCCTTCTTTTCCGCCTAACTCCCAGAAGGCATCTTTCCTGTGGTGGCTTATCTGAGATCAGGCACACCTAGAAGCTATTTTCTGCAAGTACTACTACAGAACAAGTGTGGATGGAGGATAATAAATCCCCCTCCCCTCCAATGGCAAATGTGAAAACTTTGCTAAGAGGCTTGGGTATGCCTCCTGCTGTGCAGAAGCTAAAACTAGGCATGCATTAAGAATTCACTAATTAGTTAACTTAAAGAACAATGGTGTACATTTTTCCTCAGAAGTAATATTTGTAAGTAGGTGCAGGATGGAATCCTAGTCTTGGGTTTATGGTTGGCATTGGAGGCAAACAGGACTCTTGTGCCTTTAATTGCTGTGTGTCAGGCTGAAATTCAATAGGCTAAACCCTTTCTTATATTTGTTGTTGTTTAGTCGTTTAGTCATGTCCGACTCTTCGTGACCCCCTGGACCAGAGCACGCCAGGCCCTCCTCTCTTCCTTTCTTATATAGAAATACAATTACAGGAAACGTTTCACTGTGGCTACTCTCTTAATTTTGTGCCATGCCATGCCCCCCCCCCCAGCAGCCATATTGTACCATTTTGTGACTAGTGCCAACTGCACTCTTTCAAAATCTGAAATGTGCCCCGGGCCAAAAGGGTTGGTGACCCCTGGTCTATACTATTTTACATTGCAAGGATAAAATAGGATGTACCCCTGGTATGCTGCCCTGAGCTTTATCTTTTATCATCAAACCAAAGCCACAAAGAAGTATTTCTTCCCTGAGTGTACATCCTTACAGTGCAAAACAGTGTTTTGTTTAACGAGCACAATAATATGAATGTTTGACATGCATAATGCGGACTGGCACACAAACAATGAACTGCTAACACAGACTAATTAAAATATATTTTATGAAAGTGGCCATGCATGCAGTATGTCTCTCTTGCAGGTGCAGATTACTGTGAGCTCAGATCTGATCCTTCAGCACTGGGGAGGAGCACAGCATGAAACAGAAGATACTTACTAATGACGGAATTCAAGGATCTGGGTGTCTGGGTTATAGTTGATCAGTACACAACGCTTGATGGCATTAAGGTTTACCTGGGGCAGGGCAGGCAGTGGGTGGTGGGGGGCAGGGTAGGAGAAAAGAGAACACAACAGCATGAGAACCAAGGCTCACAATATGGCATAAGAGGGCCTTCTCGGTAGTGGCACCCGCCCTGTGGAACACCCTCCCACCAGATGTCAAAGAGAAGAACAACTACCAGACTTTTAGAAGACATCTGAAGGCTGAAGCTTTTAATGTTTAACAAACCACTGTATTTTAATATTTTTTTGGAAGCAACCCAGAGTAGCTGGGGAAACCCAGCCAGATGGGCGGGGTATAAATAATAAATGATGATGATGATGATGAAGTCCCTCATCTGACAAGTACTTTAGGTGGCAATGAAGATTCCCTAGCTGTAACAGCCTTTATAGAAGCCAGGAGGCCTAGTGCCCAATTTCCCTAGTACTCTTGAGGTGGAATTCAACATTGCGCTAAGGCAATTGTTCTGTCTGCACAAGCATTTCTGCTTGGCAGACGGAATGATCTTCCTCCTCCTCCTCCTCCTGGGGCTTCTCTTGACCTTTCTGGGCGGAGAGACAGGAAGTCCCATTCTGCTAGCAGGACTCAAATGTGCTAGCTTCTACTAGTGCACAACTTAGCTGTAGCCAGCTCTAGGTATCCAACTTCGGTAACTGAGCTTTAAAAGGTAAAGGGACCCCTGACTTACCAATGCAATATATCCCCAAACACAGTGCTGATTCAGAGTAAGTTTAACGCATGGTTGTGCTTCATCCTGTTCTTATATCCCTGGAATCTTTCCCCACTAGTGACGAGTGTTAGGTATTTACATATAAAGTGAGTGCTATCCAGTGAAGGACCTTGGGAATCCTACTTGTCCACAAAAGAATCAAATCCAGAAACAAAGCTCAGGACTAGTTCTGCCTCATTTGCCCACAAACCGTGGCCTAGACTAGAGTTTCTAAAGAAGACAGGCTGTACTTGCCACAGCTTAATGCTAGAAGCACCAACTGCAGAAGGACCTCCATAAAGGAGCCAAGCACAGATGCACCAGCTCCATCACAGAGCCTGTCAAAGGTATGCTATCATCATTTGCATCTGTTCCACCATTAGAACTAAGGTGGCAAGAAGGGGTGAGGTGTCCCTTAAAAAAAAATAATGGCCACAATACTGATGTCGTCACTCTGAATTGCTCTATGCCTACTGGAGCAGGAAGGTCCTCTATCCAGCACTGAACCCCATCCCCCAATGGAAATGCAGTTACAATATTCTAGAGATTCCCTCACCACCCTCTACCCCGCAGCAGTTACAATATTCTAGAGATTCCCTCACCACCCTCTACCCCGCAGCTAACAGACACAGGGAATCCCAGAAGCACCAGCACTGCTGAGGAAACATGAGCCCAGTCCTGACTGGGGTGGGAAGAAATAGAACTGAAGGCAGGATGATGCGGGGAGGGGGGTTAGCCCACTGTCCTGAGAACTGACCAAGAAAATGTATATGCATCTCTTTAAGTGCAAGTGACACATCCCTCCAGTTTTAATTCAAGTGCCCCTGGTATCAAACACATGACCTGGAAGCTGTACGCCGGCTCCCTCGGCCAATAAAGCGAGATGAGCGCCGCAACCCCAGAGTCGTCTGCGACTGGACCTAATGGTCAGGGGTCCCTTTACCTTTTTATTGCGCTATGAGGACGCTTTGTGAGCAGATACTTCCCTGTTCCTTGCTTCCTTTTAATGGGAAAGGAATTCCAATTCATAGGAAGGTTCCAGTTAGGCAGAGGTGGGGCGCCTGCAGCCATCCAGATGTAGCTGGACTACAGCTCACAGTATTCCAGCCCATTGGCCCTGCTGCTGGCACTGGTGGGAGCTGGAGCCCAACCACATATGGAGCAGTAAAAAGACTGTTAGCACATTTGCCAAGCTATGTAGGTTCTGGTATGGTTTCAAATTGGACGGGGGACATGTTGAGATTCCTGCATGGCAGGGGGTTGGTCCCTTCCAATTCTACAATGATTCCCACTGCAGAAGAATGGCCTCAAGATGCACTGCAGTTCCAACACAAAGATATACCATATTTTTTGCCCTATAGGACGCACCCCCCCCCAAAAAATGAAGGGGAAATGTGTGTGCATCCTACGGGGCAAATGCAGCCTTTCGCTGAAGCCTGGAGAGTGAGAGGGGTCGGTGCGCACCGACCCCTCTCGCTCTCCAGGCTTCAGGAAGCTATCTGCTATCCAGTTCCCACCGGTCTCCCTAGGCTTGCGGATAGCAGCCTGCATCCCGAAGCCTGGGGTGCACTGAGTTCAACGCACCCCGCGCTTCAGGCAGATATCCACAAGCCTGGGGAGACCGGCGCGACTTCCCACCAGGCTCCCTAGGCTTGCGGATAGCAGCCTGTTCTGGGGGCTGGGGTCGGGGGAAGCTCAGGCTTCCCCTGCCCCAGCCCTGTGCCTGGGGGGGAAATAATTTTTTTCCCTTTATTTCTCCCCCCCCCAAAAAAAAACTAGGTGCGCCCTATGGGGCGAAAAATACAGTACATTAATTTCCACAATCCCTTTCCAGAATGGAAAACGGAGGTCTAAATCACAAACACACTCTATATATCCTGGATGAGGTCATCCTGTCACAAGCTTTGTTGTCACAGAGGTGCCATTTCAGACTGAATGCTCTATAAAACTAACCTCTCTAACTCACATCAGGAAGCAGGTTCCACTCTTGCCTTCTCCCCAATGTTTTCTAGGTGAGGGATATTTTTTGTCTATTAAGAGGCTTCCAACTGTGTGAGCTTTCACTTCCAATCTAACATGGTAAAGCCAAGACACACCTTAACTGAGGCCACACATTTCCCACTTAACCAACCTCACAGAAGTAAATTTGCCCTGAGATTTGGAGATGAAGAAGACACAAGTGTTATGAATAACATACGCTCTTTTTGAGAAGCAGGGCAGAGCTGACCTGTATGACACACCATGGGAGACCAGGGCCAGAGGCATCTGAATAGCAGAGCAGGACCATCAAGCTGACTTCCCACAGTCTCCAGGCCAGCACACACCTACCTTGTGGACATTGATGGAAGGGAACATGTTCTGGAACATAGTCGCCATGACCTTGATGTGCATGCCCTGAAGGCCAAAATTGTTGAGGACCAGGAGTGGGTGGTGGTTGAACTGCTGCTCATGCATCCGGTGCCGCTTCAGGGTTGACACAACATCTTTGATGAGCGAATACTGAAGTGAAACAGATGAGTGAGGCAGCAGCAGAGGTGTATTCTTTGTATTCTCATTTTGTATGTTTTTGTTGTGAACCACCCTGGGATCTTCGGATGAAGGGCAGTATACAAATCTAATTAAACAAAGGTCAGGGATAATGGGAGTTATACTCCAGCAGTATCTGGAGTGCCCATCCTTGATGTAAACCCTGATATCCAGAAGGCCTGTAGACTTGGTACTGGTTCAGCTTCATGAGCATCTCAAGCTTTCGTTTTAAAAAACACACAGGTTTCTAGACCTCGTGGCAGCAAATATATGCTTGGAAATTGTACTCCTGAAATCCCTGAAGCTAGAGGGGTGGCTGCATATGATGTTCAGTAGTGATAAAGCCAGGATAAATTAGGCAATTTACAGTGAATACAGGCTGCAAAATACATTTAAGTGATACAGGCTGCAAAATTTAGATTGTCTTGAAGTACAGATAAATAATTCACCTAGGTCAAGGATTCACAGCACACCACATTAGCAGTCTGTAAGAGGGGTGGGAGGGTGGTTATTGGTTTGCTTGGTTTTCGTTCTTGTTTTTATTATGTATTTTGTTTTAATCTTGTATTTTTATGCTGTGAACCACCCTAAGATCTACAGATGAAGGGCGATATATAAATAAATAACCCACTAGAAAGAACAGGTAGCAAAAAACCCTTCTAACTTTAGCAAGCTATAAAAGGGTCTTTCAGAGGCAGCTGTATTCTAACTAGCCTACCCTACTATTTCCAGCAACTGGTACCTGAGCAACTCTGAAGGTCAAGGTAGGTCCACCAGGAAGACGGAAGAATTTCTGAGGAAGAGAGAAATCAATCAGAGCAGCCTCTACCACAGGCAGATTGGTTGTCATAATTCAAACTCTGCTTTTAGTGTTTTGCAAAATCCAGATGCATCAGTGCGTTTACTTTGAAGTGAGAATCACAGGTTTCACTCAGCAAAACACATTGTCATCATTTGCATCAGGTCATCAGGCAGAGTTACAATGATACTTCATCCTGCAAAGCAGGGTTCTGGAGAATGATAAAGTTCTTCAGAAGCTTATCAGGACTCCCTCAGTGAGAGGGTCAGTACCAGACAAGCCTTTCCGACAATTCTGCCTTGCCATACTGCTTCATGGTAGCCTTTCCCAACCTGGTGCCCTTCTGGATGGCATCAGGTTGGGGAAGACTGCTCTACGACTACATATTGCAGGGAGTGATCAGTGACCTGGGCAAGCAGGGGGACTTGTGTGTCCTAGGAGGCTGTACTCAGTTCACACTCAGCAACGAGGCCCAAGAAGCTTGGTCACTGCTCCATAGGAATTGACTGTAAAATCTAGTACATGCTCCAGAATCTCCTGCCTTGAAGAGTAGAAGCTTCACAATGACAACACAAAATTGTCCTCAACAGACAAATCAATTTGAAGACAAGAGTTTGAAAAGCATCAATATAGAGAGAAAGAATTCAAGTTGCACATTCTAACACAGGCACAGGCAAACTCGGCCCTCCAGATGTTTTGGGACCACAACTCCCATCATCCCTAGCTAACAGGACCAGTGGTCAGGGATGATGGGAATTGTAATCTCAAAACATCTGGAGGGCCGAGTTTGCCTATGCCTGTTCTAACAGAACCAAAACACAAGACTAGCAGGGCAGAACAATATCGGAACCACTTGTTGCCACCACTCAGCAACTTCTCACTGCTTAACTTACAAGGTTGATATTGGTGGGGGTTTTCGTGAACACCAGGAAGTGAGTCACACCGAGAGGTCCAGCCACTGCCACAAAGTCTTTCAGAGTGTTCTTCTTGCGCACCTGAAAAAGTCAAGACCTGTAATCAGTGTGGCTCTGCTGTTTGTGCTGCCAGACAAAAACCAGGGCATAGAATTGTCTTTAAATTACTTAATTAAATTAGTTGAAGTAAAATGCTTTAAAGTTACTAGAGTTTTAGAAATCCATTTTGAGCAAACATGTACTCAGGAAAGCCTCTGGTATTCTTACCCTACCTGCCCCCCCCCAGCCATTCCCAACTACATCCTTGAACACTTTTGCAACAAAACTAAACAAGCGCAAGGACTAGCATTTTGCATTAAATATGCAAAATGGCTAGGTACTATGTGATCCAGGTTTCATAAACACAGATCTGTATAACTGGCAAAATGTTTGCAAGATTTTTTTAAAACAAACACACAGCCCACCCCCTAAATGATCCAGAATTTAGACAGCCCCTGTCAGAGGGAGAAGATTATGCTGACTGGAGCAATGTTTTATTGTTCTGAACAAAAATGGTCCAAGACCACACATTTTTAAATGTATGTAGAGAGAGAACCAAACTGTTTCCTGGGCATTTATGTGTGGATTTAATTCCTCATCCCCATCTAGTAGCCTATATTCCCCTTAGAATCCGTCAGAAGCCCCAATTTGTAAGAGGCCTCTCCTACCCGCCCCCCTCCGGAGCACCATTTCTTTCCCCTTGGCCTCACCTTGAGGCTGGAGGCCGTGTAGGGCTGCATCACGCGGCGGACATCCAGGATGAGCTGCTGCAGGTTCTTGCCCACGCGGCCGCGGTGGAAGACAAAGGAGTGCGGGACGGAGCCGAACTCCTCCTGGCCGCGCAGCTGGGCGGCCGCGCGCTCCTTCTTCTGGTTCTTGGTCTGCAAGGGAGGAACGCGAGACCTCGTGCAGGGCCGGCGGCGAGGCAGGCAGGCAGGCCGGCGCCGCTCCCTCCCCGGACGCCCCGCCGCCCGCCTCACTCCCGCCCCCTCCCCGGCCCAGGACTCACCTTGCGCGGACGACCCATCGCGGCGGCGGCGGCGGCTGCTTCGGGCTCCTCCGGAGAAAGAGCGAGCACGCGGTCCCCTCCACTTCCGGCCGCGTGTGCTGCGCCGCCCCAGCGCCGGAAGTGCGCGCAATCAGCGGTCCGGGTTGTCCCCTAGACGCGCGAATATCCGGTCCGAGAAAGCGGCCCGCCTGCCTGGCCGCGCCTCGGACTCGCCCGGGCGCGCGGGTCTGGCCCCGAGCAGACGGGGCGCTGCTGGGAACAAGCGGCGTTTCTGCGAAGTGAGTTGGAGCAGCGCGAGGAAAGCGAGGCCTCAGTCGCGGGGAGCAGCTGCCCCCAGTGAAAGGAGAGAAATGCTGAACTGGCCGCTCCCCTAACAAAACTCCCGGCCGCGCCCGTCTCTCTTCGCCCCCGATTCTCTTCCATGCATCTTAACTCTCTTTTATCCCAAAGGCGAGGGGGGGGGGCTGCATGTATTTTTAGGTTTAAAACCCACACGCAGGTATAAAACAAAGCACCAAATTTCTGAGCGTTTTGTATCCTTTACTATGTAGGTAGGGCAGAAATGCTTGAAAGAAAGGCGGGGGAGATGTTATTTTTGAGTGAAAAGGCGGCGGCGAATTGCCGCGCCTGGTGCATAATTTCCCGCACCTTTGGATTCAGCCCAATGCGAAAGCTTTAATGCTCCGGGGCAATTCAGGGGTCGCACGTTTTGGTCGTGCGTAGGATTGAGCGCAATTTCTTCCCATCCCGAGGCAGCCCCCGAGTTCACCGCGAAAGGATTTCGTGGCGGGAAGCCAGTTTTCCTGAGCCGCCTTTAAAAAGTTTCAACACGAAAACCCGCTGGGGCTGCGGGCGCCGGAGCAGCCGCCCAGTTCCCCAGGAAGGGGCCTCTGCTGCCCTGCTTAGCCCAGGTCTGCCTCCGAGGGGCAAAGCCACCCGCGGACTGCGGCGCTCCTCGCCCCGCCTCGGAGGCTGCCGCGCGCGCCCAGAGAGGCGCCCAGAGACGCTGCCGGTCGCCCGAGCAACGCCGACGCCGCCACTGCCACTGCCAGGAGCCGGCGGCGGGCGGGCGGGCGGGCGGGGACGGCGAAGCGGCGCCCGGCCCGAGCCCCCCTCCATGCCTGCCCCGCGCAGCCCCGCCCGCCCTCCCGCGCCCTCGACCCCCGAGGCCGGTAGGCAGGGGGCTGTGCCGGCGGAGCGGGATTCCGCGCCCGCGCTCGCGCGCCCCGCCGGGCCTGGCTCCTTCCGGAGCCCCCGTAAGGCTGCGGTGAGGCTCCCCGCGCTCCCGGGCCCCTCAGCTGTCCCCCCCCGCTCCGCTTGTGGGCCAGGCTCCCTCCGGGCCAGCTGCCCCCGTTCCCCGCCCTCTGGCCCCCCTGGTGCTGTGCCAGTTCCCAGCTGCTCAGGCTGCCAGGGCCTGGAGCTCCCAAGTCTCTGGGCTTGACAGCCCCTTAATGGATCATCTCTGGCAGATTTAGAGGTGAAACTGATGCGTGTCTCCCCACCCATTGTTCCCTTCAGCAACACCCAGTCCTTGGGGGAAGCAAGAAAAGGGCTTCCATGCGCACCCATGCACAGTTGCGCGGAGCTGCCGGCCGCTGGCACCGGAGCCTTCATTGCCTAGCAGGGTCTTTGTGAGGTCACACTCACATTCCAGGTTCTGAGGAAACGCCTCTGCTGCTCATCGCTGCTCCTGCCAAAGCAAGACCAAGGAAGAACACCTGTTCTTCTGCCAGGCTTCCCACCCCACTGCCCTAGCATAGTACTGCCTTCGGCCGCTCACATTCTTGGCACTTCTCTCGTGGCACTTCAGGTGTCCCATATTTTCCTAGAAAATCCATCACCTGGTGTAGCACATGTTGCCCTCTTACGGTCGCACCCCCTGCACTGATCTTACGCAAAAGGAATTACCTGTTTTGTACTACTTGCTTTGCCAGGCAAAACAGTCTTCACCCTTGGCCAGTTGTCTGACAGCACAGCAGCTGGCCTTCAAGCTGCCATTTTCTACTGCCTTGTTCTTGACACTCCATTGAAGTGAGCACAAGCCCTACTTCCTGTGCTGGAGGTAACGTGCCTTAGCCCCACACCAAGTCTCCAAGCCCAAGTTCATGGGCCTTGAAGATGGCCTCAGAAGCGGTGAAAGTGATTGTGCGTTGCCGCCCTTTGAATGAGCGTGAAAAGCAGCTGGGCTGCAAGGTGGTGGTCAACATGGACAGCTCCTGTGGCCAGTGCTTTATCCAGAACCCTATGGCATCCGAGGACCCACCCAAACAGTTCACCTTTGATGGGGCGTATAACATGAGCCACAACACAGAGCAAATCTATAATGAAATTGCCTACCCCCTCATAGAGGTGAGTGCAACCAGCTGCAGATATTGCGTTTTCAAGCGCTCTGCCTTCCGTCGCGGTGTTCTATTGCACCAGAAGCAGATCCAGAAAGCTGTCTGGGTCCTTTACCTTTTGGGAAATCTACAGCTCAGTGATATAAATGTCACATACTGTACTTAAGTGTGTGCGTTCATAGTTTGCTTATCCTAGGGAAGTGGGTAACTTAAAGCAGGGGGGAAATTAAGGTACTGGAGCAGAAAAAAATCTGTAGCAATGGCCTTTAATTTTTTCAGACTTGGGGCCCTCATTTCATGTTAACCTGCTCAAAACAAAATTACAGAGCAAGCCGATGCATAACCTCAGAAGGTGATGCACTCTCCTTCATTGGAGGTTTTTCAGCAGAGTTTGGGTAGCCATCTGTCAGGAATGCTTGAGTTGAGATTCCTGCACTACAGGGGGTTGGACTAGATGACCCCTTGGGTCCCTTCCAGCTCTACAATGCTATGATTCTATGACTACCAAGAAGTAAATCCAATTCAAAGGGACATACCTCAGGAAAGAGTGCAGTATGTAGTTATAATAATATATCACACACACTTTTCAATTTCCTCTCCCCACCCCTCTTTCTCCTGTAGATGATGATGGGCCCTGTGTTAGATCAGATTGCAATTCAGCTGTGGCATGGTTGAAGACTGATGGTTATCTATTGGGGTGGGGAGTCTCTGGTCTTCCACATGTTGTTGCACTCTATTATTAGCATAGTAAGTGATGAGGGAGGGACGCGGGTGGCGCTGTGGGTAAAAGCCTCAGCGCCTAGGGCTTGCCGATCGAAAGGTCGGCGGTTCGAATCCCCGCAGCGGGGTGCGCTCCCGTTGCTCGGTCCCAGCGCCTGCCAACCTAGCAGTTCGAAAGCACCCCCGGGTGCAAGTAGATAAATAGGGACCGCTTTCTAGTGGGAAGGTAAACGGCGTTTCCGTGTGCGGCTCTTGCTCGCCAGAGCAGCGATGTCACGCTGGCCACGTGACCCGGAAGTGTCTCCGGACAGCGCTGGCCCCCGGCCTCTTGAGTGAGATGGGCGCACAACCCCAGAGTCTGGCAAGACTGGCCCATACGGGCAGGGGTACCTTTACCTTTACCTTTAAGTGATGAGGGATGATGGGAATTGAAGTTCCCTGCTGATCTATAGGACAATATGTATGAAAGACTATTCTGCCTACACAGAATTCATCACAGAATTCATTGCAGAATTTGCAAATAGCAGTAACTCTAACTTCTGTAAGCCCTGGGCTATGGAACCCCTACATCCATGCTATCTCATATCCAATTCTTTTTGAAACACTCCCAGAGATGCATGCTTATTCTAATTAAATATTTGAGTGGATCTTAATAGAAGCTGATGCCTGTGGTTAGTTTGCCTGCAAACAAAATCTCTTGAGGAAGGGTAGACACTGAACTGAGAACACAAATCCAAGCTGATGGTTATTATTAATCTGCATTTTCTGTTTAAATTCCAGGGTGTTACAGAAGGCTATAATGGTACCATCTTTGCCTATGGGCAGACGGGAAGTGGGAAGTCTTTTACCATGCAAGGGATTCTGGATCCATCTTCCCAGAAGGGCATAATTCCCAGAGCATTTGAACACTTATTTGAGAGTGTGCAGGTACATACGATTAAAATTGTCCAAGGGACTAGCTGGCTAAGGGCTTGTTTACACAATTAGCAATTCTGATATCTAGAGGGCCTCTCTTTGGACACTTGATTTGATAAAATTTGAACCTTAGCTGTCTTGGAAAAACTGATAAGCAAGGTACATTTGTATAGGGCAGGGGTCTGCAACCTTTAAGACAAAAAGAGCCACTTGGACCGAAGGAAAAAAAACTGGGAGCCGCAAAACCATTGCGACATTTAAAACAGTGGGGAGTGTCAGGGCACACAATGCACCTCCTTCCCTCGCTAGTATCCGCCCCGGAGCCGCGGCAAAGGTGTAAAAGAGCCACATGCGGCTCCGGAGCCGCGGGTTGCTGACCCCTGGTATAGGGGATAAATAAAGGAGGGCACATGACAAACTTTTATCGAAATGCTCCCTGCAGTGTTCCTGCTACTAGCTGAGTTATTCAATCCAAGACTGGCGTAAGAAAATCCAGAAGCCCCACCCTGACTTCCCCCAATGCTAGCCGAGTCATAATCTCCCCAAAGACATCTAAAATTGGTAGCAGGGACATCACAACAGATAAGGCGACACAGAGCCCCACAGCACTGATTACCTCCAAAAGAGAACAAATATCAGTTTGAATGGAATTTTGATTCTGGCTTGGAAGCAAGCTGTGAACCAGGAAGTGGGTGAGAGACTCGTTTTGCATGAGGGGAGCAAGAACATGGAGTGTGAGCCACAGGTTGCTCCTGAGAGCAAAGTCATGTTTTGGTTGAGTTTTCTGAGCAGAGGTGTTGAAGTAAAACAGACTGATATGAAATGAAAGTCAGTCAGCCAGCAACCCTTAGCATAAGGCTGCCAGATTTTTTTCAATGAATCCGGGGACACTTTAAATAAATAAATAAATAAATACTACATGTTTGGGACGTTGGTGCTGCAGCGATGGCCTTGACCTCAACCGCCACGTTTCCCCTTCCTCTGAGGCTTCTATCTCCTTTCTCCATGAGCCTAGGCAGCCCCTGAGTTGTTGGTTCTTCGGTGGTGATGGTGGTGGTGGTGAAGCAATGTGCGGTGGGTCAGGCATGGAAGGCAGAGAAGGAGGGCCAAGAGCAGCAGTGAGGCTCGGGCAGCGCGATGCCTCCCTTCCCA